CCAACTGAAAAGGACGAAGGACAAAAAGGAGTGAAAATGGATTTCCATTTAAGGCGGCATGTTGAGCACATTGTTTTTATTAAGTGTCGCATGATATGTGCGATAAATACATATGTGTATACACATATATATCCAATGCTAAGCCCGCAGTGCCACTCCATTCACATAAACACTTCAAGTGGCAACATGACGTGCAACTAATCCGCTGCCGTTGCCCAAAAAATATGTTACAAGTGGGCAGGAGTGTCCGGAGGTCGAGAGTCCGGATCCGGAATCGGGTTCAGCCGGACAGCTGGTCAGTCCGGACACTGTGGCCCAACACCGCAGAGCAGCCAAATTAGATCTTAAAATTAATAAATATTTAAACATCAGAAATACACGAAACACTTGACTAAAAAAGTCCCTGAAAATAGAATCTTTTGATTAAGATATTTTGCCATATATACAAATAAAAGTTTAAAGTTTAAATAAAATTCGGTTTAATAATGTAATTAATATTGTGTATATCTGTACAACATTACATTAGCTTAGATATTTTTATATTTTTAAAAACATTTTGATCTATACACAATGGCCTACAATGAGTTAACTAAGTTAGTCGATAAAAGCTAAATAATCAAGTAAAAGTTAGAAGGAACTATTCCTTTTAAATATATTTATGTCTCAATGAACCAATGGGTGGAGTAATATTAGATTCCCATGCTTTCATCCCACTGTGCCAAGGGGACATCATAAAAACAGCTGCCGAAAGATGACGACTGCGACTCCTGTTGATGATGATGGCGCTGGGCTGACCCCTTGACCCCACTCCCCAAATATAATGCACGCTAAATACATAGTTTGAAAATAGTTTTGAACCCTTTCATCAGGCAGCCCCACAACTCGCAGGCAGCCGCAAACAAACAAAAAACCCATGGGAACTCGACTCGTGGCTTTGGCACCAGCATCCCAGAAAACGGAGTGGGGAAAATGCGGTGGGAAATGGGGAAAAGCGGGGAAAAGCAGGGAAAAGCGGGGACGGAGCGGACAAGTGACAGTGGCAAAGCATTGGCTGTCATTTTCCTTATTTTTCGTCTGTTTGTTTTATTTCTGCCATATGACCTTTTTTGTCACATTTAGCCCGAGTTACATTTTGTCAGTCCTTAACCAACTCATCAGGGTGGTCCAAACTGCACTGCTTTGTGCTGATAAATGAAAGGCGAACGTCTGCCTCCCCCCGTTCCCGGTTTTTCCACAGGGGTTTCCTCGCACTTTCCCCACACTTTCCCAGCCCGGCACAACCCCTGACCACATCCACAGTCTGCGCTGCGTCTGAGTGAATGAGTCTGTGTGAATGGCTGCCGAAATGAATGTTGCAACTAAATGAATAAATGGAAATTAGTGCCAAAAAGGCAACGATGCGCACACAATGAACGGACGACAGACGGATTTACGGACAGAATTGCGGACAGACTTCTACGGACATCAGGACCTGCGGACAAAAAAGCCCAAATTTCGGCGGAGAGCGGTACTCAAAAATAAAGCATCTGGCCAATGCATTTTCCATAGTTTATTTAGAAGGCCTACTTTTAATGAGAGTTTCTAGTTCAGCATTTAATTTATTATACGACCTTTGTTGCTTGATTAATTACTTTATTGGCCTATTTTACTTTTTCTTGTACTTTCTAATTTATACACTTGGCGATTTATATCGTTTTAACCTATGTACTTGTAATTATCTATATTTTTATTTATTTTATTTAATTGTTTCCGTAACTGTTCGGGACTACAATCTATTGTTCAGTAGTAATCCACACACTGTTTATTGGTAGTCTGGATCTATGTTTGTAGTTGCTCTTTAAATGACACAGCTCTCATTTAAAGCGTCTGCTTTCCCAGAAAATAGCAGGAATATTATCGTATAATTCACAGAGGGAGGAGAAAGCAGAGTGAAAGCGGAAAAAGGGCAGAAGGAGCAGCGCATTGAAGCGAACGCATATCTATCATTAATATCGCTGCAGTCAGCTGCTGTTGTGCTCAAAAAAAGGAGGCAAAAAATGGGAAACAAAAGCGAAAAACTGAACTGAACAAAAATACTCTATGCTAAAATATATAAGTCTTAAATGAAAGTATTAGATTTGCTAGATTTAAATTTCACTTACGTCTTAGGACTAAGTTAAAGATTAGGATACATCTCTACCCTCACTCACAAATTATAGCTTTAAACATTGAAGAATGCAATTAAAATCTATATTGCTTATTTGAAATTTAAATATTAAGATTTAGCTATGTATATAAATATCTGTGGTTGTAATAATAAATTTATAAAATAAAACAAGAAAAAACCATAAAAAAGACCGCTTTTTGAAAGGCTTGTCGAACTCTAAAGGAAATTGGTAATACTCTTGGAAAATAGGAAAAAGGAAAAATGACGGAGGAAAAGAAGAATGCCGCTACACACATACACACATACATGGGCGGCCATGAATGCTAACACACCACACCACACAGCACACACACATACACACACCATTGTGTGGAAAACCCAGTGCATTTTCTGCATTTTCCGCAGAAGCAGCAGCGGCGGGGAAAAGCTGTGGCAGTAACTGACTGCTGAACTACTGCCAACTGCAATTAATCATTTTTCTATCATTTTCAGATTTTTTACTCACACACATAGCGCCTGGATATATACGTACATGCATGGGGTAAGTTATGATTTTTCACGATGCTGTTCGACGATTTCGTGTTTCGCATCCCCCCTTTTTTGGAAAATGTTTCCTTCGGGAAAAGCAGCTTGGTTTGCTTGGGGCCAGCTTAAATAGTCCGAAAAATTAGCAGTGAACACTGGCTAAGATTATCGCTTTTTAACCTTTAACCCAACAACATCTTATCTGAAAACATTCAAACTGTTTTTACTTGCAATTATACAACTACAAAATATTTATAATATATTGCCATGTAGTTAATAATATTATAAGTATTTTTATTATATATTATCACAATACCTATGCATTTTGTATTCAAGAAAATACCTGGTATAAATGGAAGTTAAAAAGCCCTTTCCCACCTCAACGACTTCTTTTCAGCCTATTAGTAGGTATTTGGCAAACACACATACAACACAGTGATGTGTGCCTATGATGCACACCCGTAAATATGTGCAGACATCTGTCTGCTATTAGCCGCCGTAAATTGCATCGTCGCCATCGGCCTAAGCGATTTCTAATGGCGGGGCACAGCGGGCGGCGGCAAACACCTTCACCAATCTCCAACTGCTCAACACGAAGAGCTCCTCCACAAAATACACTGCGAGAAAATATCTACACAGTCTGGAAAGTTCCGCCAAAATCAAGCAAGAGAATGTTGATGTTTGGCATGAAACAATTTATAGTAATGCCCAAATTATAGTTAGCTTTGCCTAATGTTTTCCCAAGTCCATCTTAAATTGCAATGAAACGTATTTTTTATGAGTATTGATATATACAAAAACCTCGAAATCATTTGCATACTTAATATTTTAATTTATAACTGAATAATATCAAAAGGATATCTATATATTATATATCAATATCCATAATATCGTCAAACCATGTGTATTGTTTGTTCTTCAAAAATTTACTATAAGAAGGAGACTTGGATAAGGATTTCGATACCGTATTGTATGAGGTACTTGTTTCTCCATGTGTAATTTCGGAGATCCTTTGGTGCATATGTGCCCAGCACCACGCTGGACATACATATGTACATAGATTAGGTCAATTTGCTGGTAACTTTTGATGATGCCCGGCAGAGGAGTCCGAATCGCAGGCCAAGTCGCAGACGGAGGGAAACTTTCGGCCTGGTCACTCATCGATTCGGATACATCCGGTGGTTCGGTGGGTGGTTCAGTGGGTGGTTCAGTGGGTGGTTCAGTGGGTGGTTCAGTGGGCAACTCCGTAGGTGGTTCGAAGGGCATCGCACATCAACTGCTAACAAGTCAACAAGACCTCGGCTCGGTTCAGTTCAGTTCAGTTCAGTCGGGCATTCGCATTCGCACTCGCATTCGAATTCCCAGGGGACATTTGGTCAGCTCGGTCAGGTTAAGTGTTTTATGAACTTGTTTCAATGGAGTCGACGGGTCCTCCTACAAAGTGCGTGTGTGCAGGTGCCATGTGGTGACATGTGGCCAGCAGGAGGAGCAAAACAGGAGCGGGATCCAAGTCCTCTGGTGTGTTGCCATTGAAGCTTTTAATTTGATTTTCGTTCAAGTGTCGTTTTCTGTGGTTCTCTGTCCTCGTCTCTTTCTCCCCGCCCTCTGTCCGTCTCTTTCTACGGACCTCCTGCCATCTCTTTCGCCGCTTGTGCGTTTGACCATGTTGATTGTAGCAAACTTGAGCCTTTGGCCAGACTGAAAGTTCTACTCCACTTTGGGCCGGGATTTCACTTGGGTTCCTGTATCGGTTGAGGTCTCCGTTTCTGATTCTCCTAATGAGGCATTCCTTTGCTCCCGAAAGTCCTCTAATTAAAGGCATGCCAGGGGGAATCGGTACTTTAAGCCTTTTGGGAAAAGTTCAAAATGGTAAGATAACTTTTATAATATTACTATAGCATACAAATATTTTGCTTCAAATCATAATAATATAATACGGTAAGTACTGAAACCTTGTTAATTATTTCTTGCCTTAAGCTATTTATAACCTTTTTATAGATTCTCTACAACAATCAAAATGAAACGGATTAATAAAGTCAATTTAAAAATGTTGAACAGAAAGATATTAGAGTCCTCAAATTAAATACAAATATTAAGTATTTATATAAATACTAACATGCACCTTAAAATTACTTTACTAAACTCAATAAATAATTCTCTTTCAAATTGAAAGTCAAAGGTTAAAAACCACAACAATTCAGCTTGTTCAGTGTCAACGCAGTGAAGTAAGTGACATTAAATAAACAAATTATTTAATTTACCAAATGGCAATGGCTATGGATAAGTAGAAGTACCAAGGACTTGGAATTCAGTGTGGTTTCAGCCGAAGATGCGAGTGCCACGTAATCGCCAGCAGGCTCTTTTTTGGAGCCAACAAAAACGCCCAAAGCCGCAACCAAAAACTATCCGCATTTCGCTGGCCACTTGGCGCCGAATCCTGTCCAGAAATACGGATGAGTTCTGTCGCAATACCACCATTCATGGATTGAAGTACATTAACAACAGCAAATTACGGAACAGTGATAGGTAAAAGGGAAAACTATGCAAGGAATTAAAGCTTAAATAATTTTAAATAATAAAAAGGAATTCAATCAACTAGAAATTTAATTTCAAAGTCCTTAAAAGCGTTTTAATCGTTTAAAACACCTATGCAAACCTACGTTGTATTGTACTTCGGTTCTCACATTCTTTAATTAATGGTCTAAAATAGATTAATATGAACATTTTTTATAACGTACATTTAAAATACCAGTTTACTTCTTACTGCTTTAATTTATTGCAGTAGAAATGCAATATATTTATGTTTATATGAACCTATAAAAATTACTATCAATTAAACACTGTGTTACAAAACTATGTTATAGCCAAATTATAATAGTACTCACTGATTTAATTTGTACTTAAAGGTTGTTTTTCGGCATAGCCCTGCTGGCGGTGCTTTCCTTCGCCATTTACCTGATACAGGACGCCTTCGATAAGTGGAACACCACTCCGGTGATAGTGGGCATCGATCCGGAGCTAACTTCCATTGCCAACGAGCCCTTTCCGGCGGTAACCATTTGCAATTTAAATCAGGCCCTGGCCCAAAAAGTCCAACACTTGGCCAACGATTCCATTGAGTTTGCCATGCTGCAGTTGCTCTGCCGACGTACGGTGGATGTCCAAATGGTGAATGGAAATGATCCCAACTGGGAGGAGTTTATACTCAATGTATGTAATATTTTATAATCACTTTGATTGTATATACATAATTTTATATTCTTCATCATTGAGGAAGAAAATCCTTAAAAACTGGTTGAATCTATTTACTTTTATCAAGTCTTTTCGATCTTTCTATAGTTCACCTCTATATATTTTGAACAAACAGATCTCACAACCCTGCAAGTCAATGGTGATTAACTGTCGTTTTGGCGCCGATGATTACGAATGTGGGCGTTTATTCCACCCAATTGTGACCGATGAGGGTCTATGTTGTGTTTTCAATATGCTGCATCCCAGGTTTATGTACCGGAAAAGGTGCGAAACTATTTCTTAACTTTTATCTTAAGGCTTTAAAATACCTAGTTTTTATTATAACCAACAGCCAAAGCTTTTGAAAAAGCCACAGATTTTGGTAAGAGCCTACATTAAAATGTATGAGAAAGACTTTTAGTCAATCGTGAAACCCAAAGCTTTGTACTTTTATTAAAAAAAAAGCGACATCCCTTTAAATATACTTTAGTTTAAGAGTTTTTAGCCAGGATAAATTGGCTTTAAGCCAAGTTAAAAAAAGCTCTATCTAAGAATACATCCTTGTCTCAGCTTAAAACCTACTCTAAGCTTATTAAAAGAAGGGCCTAAACGTTTTTTAAAAAAATACATAAAAGATACTAGGTTTTAACTATTTTGTGGGATATTATTTTTTTCTTTTTCCTCGAAAGCGTTCCCTACTCACATCGCAATATAAGCCTGCCCGATGGATTCCAGTCAGTCAACTGGCACGCGGAGTCGGGATATCGCAAGCGGGGCTCCCAGCAGGATGCGGATAGTCCGCTGTACCCACGACGAGCCCAAGGAACTGGGGAGTCGCTCGGATTATCGCTGACTCTGGATGTCCAGGCGGACGCCTACTACTGCTCCTCGTCCAGCAGCATTGGCTTCAAGATCGCCCTGCATAGCCCCAATGAATCACCTAATGTGCGCGAGACCGGAGTCCTTTTGGCACCCGGAATGGAGACCAAACTGCGGATAGATCCGGCGAAAATCCTGACGGAGAAGCACCTGCGCAACGTGGACCGCCAGAGCAGGCGCTGTTTATTCCGCAACGAGCTGAAACTGCGATGGTTTGCCCACTACACTCAGAGAAATTGCGTGGCCGAGTGCCTGTCCGGCTGGCTAATCCGCCACTGCGGCTGCGTGACCTTCTATATGCCCCGACTGAACAGGAACGACACTATTTGTTCGCTTCGCAAGCGGGACTGTGTGGAGCTGATCCGATTCAGGACCATTGTGGCAATGGAATCCTGCCTGGATGAATGCCTGCCCTCGTGCTTCGATCTCACCTTCAGTGCGATTGCCTACTCAACGAGGATCTCGCACGAAGGCTTCAAGCAAACGCCCTCGAACAGCGGCTGGAACTTTTCCGATTCCTATGTGGAGCGCAGCGTGGCGGTGGTGAATATGTACTTTAAGGATCCCACATTTAGGGCCAACAAGCAGACTGAGTTCATTGGCGTCTCCGATTTTTTGTGTGAGTTAATTACCCAATCGCCCGGGAGAAAAAAATGTAAGCTCGTAAACCATTTTTGCAGCTGCCGTGGGCGGACTCATGGGTTTGTTCTTGGGCTTCAGCTTTCTCTCCATTGCCGAGTGCGTGTACTTCGCCCTGATACGTCCCTGTCGCACTTGCTCGGAGATCCGACAGCTCAACCAGCAAACGCAGCAGGAAAATAACACAAAGATGGTCCTGCCACCAGCAGAAATCAGATACATTTCACCAGCCAATTGGTTTCGGGCCGAGTTGGGCCATCAGCAGCCACACAGGCCGCACTTTAATCCTGCTTAAACTTAGCATATTAAAACACTAATCTAGATGAACTCCCAGTACTTGGTGACGAACTCGTTTTTGGGCAGGGCCAAGTTGGCGGGTCGCTCATAGTTCAGGGCAAACTGCTTGGCCTTCGATTGCAATTCGTCGTCGAAAATCTGGCGGGGGAACAATAGTTATATATTAAGTAAAGTAATAAGGGTTAATAGAAACAATTTTCCGCCACTTACGTTGCACTCTTTCCTGTCCAAAAGCGGTCCCAAATCGAATTCCATGATGGGCAGCGAGGAGTTGATGAACCGGGCAGCATTGGCCACCTCCGGAACAACGTGCTTCTGCAGCAGCGTAATCTCCCACAGCGAACTATTGATGGCCTCGGATTTCACGGGATCCGTTTCCGAGTCGTTGTAAGGATCGCTGACTTCATCGATCGCGTGACTGGCGCGAATCAATTTCTGGAGCCCCGTGTGCCGCAATAATAGATTGCAAACGAAGCGGATCATAATCACGGCATCTTCGGTGGGCGACTGCAGGGCCAAACGGGCGAGGCGCTTCACAAATGCCGCCACCAGATTCTCCGGCAAGTGAGTGGAGGTCAGGAAGATGTCGGCCAGGTAAAACAGACGAGCCTTGTACTTGTTGAAGAACATCCGGGGATAGAACATATTGTACAGCTTCTCGTACACATCCGGATAGGTGATGTTCTGCTTTTGCATCAGCGTGAAGATGCCTTGGAGAGCTAGCAGGGCGATGGGGCCATCTGAAAGGAATGGAAATTGGCTTGTAAGTATGCAGAAGACTGGCTATGGTAAATACCAACCAAACTGATGCAGCGAGTCCATGAGAAAGTCAGTCAGCTGGATGGGATCGTTCAGGTGGTTGATGACGCGCTCTAGCAGAACCACCAATATTTGGCGGTGCAGCTTCTCTTCCACTTCGCTGCCTTTCGTCATTATAGCCAGCCAGAGGTTGTTTAATCTCTTCTGGTTTTGCTCCAAATTAAAAGCATGGGATTTCGCGCTTTCCACATGATAATCCGCAGTGCTTAGCACCGTTTTTCCAAAATCCAGAAGATTTACAATGGACAGGAAGTTCATTGCCTTCACCGGGATGTCCTTAAAGTCATCCTTGGGCACTAGCTCCAGTATTTGCTTGAGAGTAATCTCCAATACATCCAAATTTTTGCAGTATTTCCCGTAGTTTGCGAGCGCATTTGTGGGTGTTTCCTCGGAATTCAAGAGGGTGTCCAGAATTTCCCGGATCCTGTGGGTGGGCCAACCTTTTCTGGGTGCAATTGGATGTTTGGCCTCCACTTTGATGAGTTGCATGCACACTTTCAGGGCCACGGCACCCTCTGAATCCACTAGAAGGTTCTCCCTCAAGAGCAACCAGGTTTCCTCGTATAATTTGTGGATTTTCAGGGCCTGTTTTTCATCACCCTCGCGTGTTATTCGTTTAAGCAGGTTCTTGAATATCACCTCCAGGACATTCATCACTTCTCCAGCTGGCACACCATTATCAGGGCTATCCTTCTGCAGGGTAATACGTTTTGGGTTTGCATACATTTCATTAATAATTATAGCATTTAACTAAATTACCAGCAGTTTAACGAATCCCTCGAGCGTTTTGATGTCCACATTTTTGGCATTTAGCAGGGAATTCGCCTTGGCTTGCAGTCGCTTTTTGGCCAAGGGCTCCGCGATGTCCTCGTCCTTCTTTCCGGCTAATCGCTTCATTTCCAATTCCTTAAATGTATTTTTAAACAATTTGATTGCAAAGCAAAACAAATAATAAATGAAAACATGCGGCGTGCTCTTAGGGAGTTGCCAGACCGATGGGAAAAGATGGTTCAAGCGCTGCCACCTTTTGCCTAGCAATAATTATCGAATGCTATGGTCTCACTGTTTGCGCAGACTTATCGATATATCGCAGTCACTTGTAATTTGAAAAGTGTCATCTATTACGCGGCAAAAATTTAATTTATCCTCGTCAATTTTAAAATAAAATTAAGATTTCACTGTTAAAAAAGATACAAAGATGAGGAACCAAAAATAAGTGCAGTCATTAAATTGTATTATTATAAATTTAAGATCTTACCGGCCACTTTCCATTTCATTCATAAAAAATGCCACTCAAATTGAGATTCCACTCAAGTTCAACCATCCGGCTTATTTTGAGTTCGGGTTTTCTGCTTCTGCGCTCAATTTCGCTTTGTTTACAAATACTTTTATTCCCTTTGGGAATTTGCATGCGCGCCTGTTGCGTTCTTTTCGCTATCGATAAGAAAATGCTTAAACGGAGCTGTGCCTTTTTTCCAAAACATAACATTTAAAAGTAAACAAACCAGTTGTATAAACAAGAATAAAATATTTGCTTATTTTTTTCCAAATAACGGATTATAAAATAAAATTATAAAACATAAAATTATAAAATTTTTTCTATTTAAAAGTGTAAATAAAAATATTTGCCTTGATAAAAAGGATTTTATTAATTCATTTAATTTTTATCTCATGCCCATCTTAAAATAATATTATTTGCAAAAATTGGCGTCCTTAAGTTTTTATGGTCGATTTGAATTTGTCGATTAAGTTGCGGATAAAAAAAAAAATTTTGTGGAAAGACCAACTTTCAAAATATTTTTTAATAGTCCATACGTTTATTCGTATTTATATAGGTAAGGAATAATTAAATATTTTATATTCTCCTTTAATATTTTTTTATTTAAATTGTTGTACTGTATTTATGTGTATTGCATTTTTGTTTTGCCGTTGCATAATATAATTTTAAGTTAAAAAGTTTAAAAATATATCTCGCAGCATTTAGTCAAATGTTTCAGTATAACATTTTGAGTGCTTTTCGCAGGCGGCAAAACGCTCGAGTCGAGACGCATCCTTCGGATCCCTTGGATCCTTCGGCTCGGCCGTGTGTTTTGGTTTGTGCCCACTTGGCGACTGTTTCGCTTTGGATGGCGCGTAGTTCGCTGGCGAATGTCCTGACCGACGGTTGTGTGGCGGACCAAACTCGGGCTTAGGAAACCGTTTCAATTCAAAACAAATTTCAGTTCGAAATTGGTAGTTTTCAAGAGTGTACAAACCAGTTAACAATTTTTCTTTTTTTTTTACTGTGCGCACGAAAAGAACAACAATTTATCCCATTAATATAAACCAAGAAAAGGGAAAAAACGAATTATTAAAACAGATTTAAGGTGAAAGCGAAACCGTTTGAAAAACTTTTTTTTGTGCCAAAGTTTTCCCAAGTGTTTTTTCCGGTTTCTCCTTTATTTTTTTTTTAAGTTTCACGCTGACCAGCGACTTTAAAGTGTCAAATCAGGTGAGTGGAAGCTTCTGGCGGCGGAAATTGAGTCAAGAAGCCGGTAATTGAATTAAAACCACATCTCGGAATTGGGGATTTTATCCGTACAAGAAACGTTTAATTGGGCTAGGGATTTTCGCACTTTTCCTTCTAATGAACACCCACATCCGGACTGGGCTTAAATTCACTGGCCAGCGGTTTCTGTTCGACAATTGATTAATGAAACTTAAAAGGATTTTCAAGTAAAGAGAAAATGTTTAAAAACCGTAAAAGAACCAGTGAAAGTGGCAGATTTTCAGTGTTTTTCTCGGTGCTTTCTAAAAAAGTTTAATTATAAATTAATAAACATTAAGTAAAATGTGTGGGAAAAAAATTATAGAGTTATCAATGTTAAATTACACCAATAATTACTAAAATCGCAAATTGTTATATTATTTTGGCTCTTAAAATATGTATGACACATATTGAAAATTAAGTAATACAAATACTCTAAAATACAATATTGATTACCTTAAAAAAATAGTAAATTATAATTAAAATAATAAACTCAATAGTAAATAAATGTTACCCAACTAAGGTTTGAAGTTTATTAATGTAATTTTGAAAGTTTCATTATTGTAAATGGTGTGGAAAATCATATGCAAATTCAGCTTTATTAGCTTGACACTAGAACATCCACTCTTATAACTTTCCCACAGCAGTTAATTCAATTGTTTCCGTGACAGCATTGCACTTGCCACTTAACCCGCGAATTAAATATCCTTTTTTGTTGAGGGTGCGGCTAGTGCATCCGCTTAATCCGAAACCAAATCCAAATCAAAATCAAAATCCAGGTGATATCTGGCTTAAACACGCGATGCGCCGCATGCGACATGCATTTAATTTCAATTTCAGCTGACCGCCCAATTTACACATTTAATGTGTGTAATTTGCAGCTAAATTTAATTGGCCTAATTAGGTGCGACACGGCCGTGAATCTCGTGGGTTTTGGGGGGTATGAAATGCCAGGATGGTATGGGTTCGCCATTAAGTGTTTGGCTAAGGACCTGGCTCAAAGCAAACGGCAGTCGCGTCAATTCACGCGAAATCAACTGAAATAATTGCGACCTTCAATTGTCAAATTGCAATGGTTTGCACCTAAGGTATTTGACATAATTGCATCACTTACAAGGGGCTGAAAGAAAATTGTTTTGAACTAGGGAAATAAAAAATGCAGACAAGAATATACAAAATAATCATTATTTTTCTCTGATTAAAATCAACGAGAATTTTGAAAAACAAAAAAAAATCGTTCTTTATAAAAAATGTATCAACAACTTTGAAACTGGTAATTAAGTTTGTAAAATGTGTATTTCTAATGCATTACATATTACTATAGAAATGAATGAAATGAAATGAAATATTACTATAGAATGTCTATTCTTGTTTTTAATATTCTTTTTATAAAACATTTTTATAGCTCAGAATATTAAAAGGGTTTTTGAACATGATGAAAGTATTAAATTATATTGACATGCCCTCATTTAAAGCTTTCCTTTGGCAACCCTGAAAAAATCCAAGAGGCCTATAGGGAGAGATTTCTCTGGCTGAATTCTTTTTAAAGTGCAAAAGAATGGTGCAAAAAAGTTTTCCATAATATTTTAACAAGAATTTAACGCTGCAGGCAAGGGCAAGGCACACAAGTCCTGAAGTCTTGCAGATCCCACCCACTTTTTCACCCAGCAAACATTGTCCAAGAGACCAAGATGTGGCATTAAAAATGAAAAAGCAACTCAAAATTCTCTGTCTCGCAAATGGGAACGCAGCAGTAAAAATACCAAAACGCATAGTCACAAGACAAGGGGGGGCGGGAAAAAGTGGGTAGGGAAAAGTGGGGTAGTAGCTGGTTGGGTTAGATGTAACTGAAACCTTTGGCTATTTTCCCTTTTTCCAGGGGTCCAGGCCTCGACTCATCTGAGGCATGCAAAATGAACCATAAAGTGCAGTCAGTCAAGATGTTTTCAAGCCCTTTTTCCCCCCCAAACCCCTTTTTGCACCGCCCCTGAACTGATAAGCACTTGACTCGAAGGCTTTGACCACATTGGCCCCCCCTTTTCTCGGACATAGCCCCTCCCTCCCATCCTCCCCCCTCCTCCAAAGGAAAAATAAAGCCGGATAGCCCGGCGACGGGTTCATAAAGTCGGACTCATATCTCCCCTTTCAAAAAGGGACTCACAAATGGTCCCTCTCTGCGGGAAAATATTTCGAAATTATGTTACGTTTGAGGTGCAATTTGGCCAGATAGAAGCAGCCACATTTTCAGTCTCTGCCAAGGACAATTTGTAAATAAGAACGTTAAAGGCGAAATGGGGACAAATTTTTTGAGTAATTAAGCCCCATTTAAAAATGCATAGAAGACAGTTCACTCGTGTCAAAAAGCAATATGCATTGAAAGTGGGAAACAAAATATTGAAACAGCTAGTGAGAGGCTTAATCCTGAAGAGAATTTTAAATTATTTTTACACAGAAAAATTAGTATACAACTTGAAAGTAATTTAATACACAAGAACACTTTTTGTAATTTTAGAGTCCTTTTTTTTATTTTGTTATTTAGTCCTGAAAGTAAAAAACTATTTTCAGTGCTGCTTAAAATTCAAACAAAATCAGCAGTACCTTTAAAAAAAAACATTCAAAGTTCAAGAAGTTATAACCTACCTAAAATGTACAAATTTCGTTTGGACTTTGTCGCATCAAAATTCGCTAGATTTTCTAATGCCAATTGGCAGTAAGCAATTGCTAGAGTACTCGGAAAAGCCCCATTGTTTTTACCGACTAATCAGTTGAGCCATAAACATTTAGCTGGTTTCATTTGCTCTTAAAAGTCGACTAAATGAAATGCAGCAATTCCGGCAGTAATAATAATGCTTGCCATAAAGCTTAGGAATTACACCTCAGCCAAATGCAAATGTTATTGTGTTGTGCCTCGGTTCCCCAGTTTTCTTATTTTTTATTTTTTTTTTGCATTTACCGCCCAGCTTATCCTGCTGCCCCGCCCACTTTTCCACACACTTTCCCGCCCATCTAACCACTCATAAGCTTACTTTACACACACACAGAGACCAAAAAGACAGGGGCAAAACAAGATAAACACGTTTACAAATTTCTGCCGAAGCTTTTACGCAGAGGGAAAATCGGAGGGAAATGGGGAAAGGCAACAGAGCGACACACGCGAGTATCATGAAAAATGTACAAGGCGCCGCCACTGGGTTTTCCCAGCCTCCGTTATTTTTTTCCTCCTTTTTCCTGGTGTGTAAATTTAATTGATTGACATCACTTAAGCGTAAGGACAACAGCCCAAATAAAAGAGGAAAACAAGGCGAAAAACAAGGACGAGGGCGTGTAAACAAATGATTTGTGAATTGCCTGCCAAGCAAAAATGATAATAGAAAAAAACAAACGCACGTCTTAATTTGTTTTCAATGCAAATATTTGTCAAAACCGAAACGTTCTGTTGACTGTCGTTCCGCCGACTGAATTCGCCACTTAAACCCGGATTAGATGCCACTTCAAAAGTTAAGAGTGTGCGAAAACAGGACGTTTTCATCGCAAATTCATTTAAAATAAATTCAATTCATTGGCTGAAATTGTGGTTGGTCTGGGGAAAATTCTTTTCACCTGGAAGCTTGGAAAACTGAGATGAAATTCTGGGAAATGTTATTTAAGAACCTCCTGAAACTGAACCATAAAAATTGAAATGCATACTTTTCAAAATAAATACAAGGTTTTAAAATTGTATTGAAATGAATACGTTGAAGGTGAAAAATTAATCTATAAAAATAAGCAATAAGCTCATTAAACATTTTTCTTTAAGATTATATCTTAATAAAGCTAAATGTATACTCACGATTAAACTAGGAGAAAAACTAGACTTTTAAATTTGTCAAACAATAGGAACCTTCAACAATGCCTATAAGTTTTAAAAATTAAGAAACTAATCTTAAAAACTATTTAAATAATATTTACTTAGTATTTATAGAGGTTTTCACATGGTATTAAATTACCTTGGTGTATCTTAAAGGCAACCCAATTAACTTGACAACAATGAGGACTGCCGTTGAGGTTCACTTAACACACGGCAAATTCCAGGGAAATAGTTTGAGGAAATGCCTTTTGGCAGTCCTTTAAAGCAAAGTGCTATTCCCTGGAAATAGTTTAGCTGGTCCTTTGGGTGAAAATATGAAATGTGGCAAGGAGGCAAGGAGGGGGCGGTTTTCAAGAATGCCTTCCTCACAATTAGCTAATTAAGTTAAATTCGCGTTGTCGCTGGCACATCGGGCGTCATCTTGGCTGCTCATCAGGGTTATCAAGATGAAAGCACCCGGCCCGGCGTTTCTGGTTTCCAAGAAGTAAATGGATTCGAGGGGCCCTGGAGTTACTTTGAAGTGCTCATCCACTCCACACATCTCTGTTTTCGGTGTTTCTGGTAATTCTGGAGCTGCTGCTGTTCTGATGTTCTGCTGTTCTGTGGCTTTCGGCGATTGCTGTTGCATGCTAATCGAGTGAGATTCCGAAGTGCCTCCGCACTCGTAAATAATTGATTAATAAATTACAAACAGTTTCGCATCTAACACATGCTGTAATTAAAGCCTAATACCATATATATATATATATCCTGACTGAAAGCGAAAGTTTCGCCTGGTTCACATTTACAATTCAAATTTCGGGGCTTATTTACTTTATACCCGGGAATTTGTTTGGCAATATAATAACAAGGCAGCACATTTTAATTCCCAGGCTTTTTTCCAGCCCTTTTGAAACAACTTTGTATATTTTATAGCGGATCCACTTTAAAAATTTAATAAATAAATCTAAGCATAACATTTCGTTTGAACAATATTCAGTGTGTTATTTTAACGTTATATGTTTTGAAAATATGTTAAGCCTCAAACGAAAATTATTCAATATGTATGTTGAAATATCAAATATATAACATTTTGTAACATTTAATTTCCCCCTAAAACTCACACCAAATTTAAGCT